TCCGAATGCGCCAACAACACGCTCCTCTGCACATGGAAATCGGGCAGAAGGTTGCGTAATAGTGGACGTTAGCATCATGATCGGATTGCACCCAACCGTACGCTTCTAGTTTCTGGCGAAGTACTGATGCTCTTGGAGATAGCCCCGGGGCTCCTCCCCTACTTGCTGCTTCAACGAGTACCACTGCCCCTGCAACTCCAACTTGTCCGTTGTTGCGTGCACTCGGTGAAAGTTGAGAAGTTGATCCCACGATTCAGGCAACCACTACCTAGGATTGCAGGGACTATCGTGGGTACTTGTATCTTGGAGATTTTCAGCTGCCATGCCTTAACCGCCCGATCTACAGCTACCGCCCCATGCTCCACCTTCAACGCCGAGATATCCGCATCAGTCTTTCCTACACGACCCGTGTTCTTAGCGTCTATTGCCCCAAGGCAACGCTCCTGCTCCAACAAAGACCTGAATTGACTAGTAAAGACCATTACCGCCGTCTGCACATCGTCCTCGGGGCTGAACTTCCCGGTGAACGCAGGGGTAGTGATACCTGCGCTAATGCGTATTGTTTCCTTAGGGGTTGGGACTTCCCTGTTCTCATCCTCCGGTTCAATCTTGAGCCTCTGCAAGGCCCGCGCGAGGGTGTCGATGAGGCTGACGTCCGCCGGCGATCGGGGCTGGTCTTCGGGTCGCGGGCTTGACTCCGAGCCAGCCGGCCTCTCCGGTGTCGCCTCCTTCGGAAGGCATGCCCTCGCTCTGTGCTGCGGGGCGCTCTGCTGCTGCTGCTTCTTCTACTTTCTTCTTGACCTGCTCCTTGATAAGGGCGTCGATTACATTTCGCTGCTCGTCCGAGAGCTCGAGCTCATCCAGCTGCTGCTCCATGATTTCCGTGTCACTGGTCTCTGGCCAAACCCATTTGTAGCTAGCCCCACCTCGGGATCCCGTATCATATCACGCTAGCGTGTTCGGATAATCCGAAGTGGGGGTAGCTTGTCGCAAGACGTGTGTTGTACAGGGTGTCGGCAACTCGGCGGGCTCGCGCCGAGGAGAAAAACCTGTTGTGATTAGTTGCATCCACATACGCACACACTTCCCCCCCCTCGGCCTGCTCCCCGGCCGGGGCCGAAATCGACCTAGTGAGTCCCTCGCGGGCGAACCAGGCCACAACCGATAGTAGGCGGGTGGTGTCCCGAGTTGCAACTCACCGCCGCGCTGGCTCAGCGTGGCGGTGAGGATGCACAGACGGTGGTAGTGGCGAGAGGTGT